TTGGCATTGCAACTTGGATGTCAACACAGAACATCTTGCCTAATTTTGAAGTGTTTTGTCTAATTCTGAAATGCCCCAATGAGTTAAGGATACCGCAGGCAGAAACACTGACATCTCCTTTCACCATTATGAAGTTGGTCTTCTGCATCTATGGATTCCACCATACACCGCTTGAAAATATTCTCCTAAAACAAATTCCAAAAGGCAAATGTTGATTTTTGTTATTTTATACAAGGGACGCCATTTCACTTTGCCACTGTATTTAATGGGTCTTCCAATAGTGTTGTTCTTATTGTCTCTCTCTGAGTCAGTTTCCCCTCTCAAGGAGTTTCCTCTCTTCAGAGGGGGTTTGCCATTGCCATCCTCTGAGGCTGAGAGCATGTGACTTGCCCAAGGTCACCTAGTGGGTTTCATGGTGGGGAATCAAAAACTGATCTCCAGAGTTATAGTGCAATGCTCAAACCAATATGCCAGGCTGGCTCAAGTGCCTGTTGTTGTGTGCCTTCAAGTAGTTTCTGACTTAGGGCAATGCTATGAGAGTTAGAGAGGCATAGTGGTTTGAGAGTTGGCAATTCCCAGCTTGACTATGAAACCCACTGGGTAGGGTTGCCATAGTTCTCTTCCACAAAACTGGGACAAAACCATATGGGACTGGATTGAGCAGTTTATCAACACACACACACACACCCCAAAAAACACCACATTTTGACATTTAACATTGTTTTGCATGGCATATTTCAGTTGTTATATTTCCATTCTGGGATTTGGTGTTTCTTGCTTCAACTGGTCCAGCTGGCCAGGAAATTTTTTCAGACCCTTCAATCCAGGATTTTCCTGGTTTTCTGGGACAAACAGCAAGCCTACCACTGGGTGACCTTGGGAAAGTCACACTCTCCCAGCCTCAGAGGATGGTGATGGTAAACATACCAAGAAAACATGCCAAGAAAACCCTATGATAGGGTCACCATAAGTTGGACATGACTTGAAGGCACACAAGAACAACAAGGTGACCCAACAGGGGGTTTTCCTGGCAAGACTTGTCCAGCGGAGGTTTGCCCTTGCCTTCCCCTGAGGCTGAGAGAGTGGGACTTCCCAAGGTCACCAAGTAAGTATACCACACTGGCTCTCTAGTGCCTGTACATAGCATTATTTCATTTTTTGACATAAAAAAGAGCCTTGAATCCCTGTCCTGTCCTAGTTCACCTTCTCATTCCACACCTGTAGGGTTGCCATTTATCCTGGAAAACCTAGAAAATCTTAGAATGAAGGCATTAACATAATTTCCCTTATTGTGTTGCCATTTGTCATGGAAAACCTGGAAAATCCTGGTTTGAAGGGACTAAAATAATGTCCCCCTTTTCCTCCCGATTCCACACTGGTAGGGTTGCCATTAGTCCTGGAAAACCAAAGAAATCCCAGATAGAAGAGACTAAAAATGTCTTTCTTGACCTCCTCATTCCACACCTGTAGGGTTGCCATTAGTCCCAGAAAATGTAGAAAATCTTGGTTTGAAGGGACTAAAAAATCTCCCTTAATATGTTGTCACTTGTCCTGGAAAACCTGGAAAATCTCAGCTTGAAGGGACTAAGTCTTTCTTTGCCTTCTCATTCCACACCTGTAGGGTTGCCATTTGTCCTAGAAAACCAGGAAACTCCCAGTTTGACGGGACTAAAAATGTCCTTTAGCCTGTTGAATTTGTCTAATCAGAAATGCACATTAATTAATAACAATATGCTTAATTATAACAATTCCCATCATATAGAAGTCATGAGGGACTAGAATATGGCAACCTTACACACCTGGGCCAAGGTGGAGACCTCACCATCTTTGCCCTTTCTACAAAATCCTAGTTTGAAGGGACTAAAAATGTCCTTTAAATCTGTAGAACAGGGGTAGGCAACCTTTCCCCTTTAAGGGCTGAGGGACTTCAGCTCCCAGAAGCCTCAGCCATGTTGGCCAATAGTCCCATGTTGCCAATAGCTCCTGGGATTCTGGGAGCTGAAGTCCCTCGGCCCTTAAAGGGGAAAGGTTGCCTACCCCTGCTGTAGAATTTGTCTAATCAGAAATGCAAATTAATAACAATATGCTTAATTATAACAATTCCCATCATATAGAAATCATGAGAGACTAGAATATGGCAACCTTACCCACTTGAGCCAAGGTGGAGACCTCTCCATCATTGTCCTTTCTACAAAATCCTGGTTTGAAGGGACTAAAATGTCCTTTAACATTTGTCTAATCAGAAATGCAAATGAATGAATAACAATATGCTTAATTATAACAATTCCCATTATATAGAAATCATGAGGGACTAGAATATGGCAACCTTACACATTTGAGCCAAAGTGGAGACCTCTCCATCCTTGGCCATTCTCCCTTTATTCCCTCACCTTTCCCTAAGGATAATAATAATTATTATTATTATTTCCCCTCAGAGGAACCACTAACGGCCAACGGTCGCGCGCGCGCGCCCCCGAGA